TGAAGGAAAGAGCAATCACAATAATACGTTGAACTTTCAGAAGAAGAGAACAGGACTGTGGTAACTAGCAGTGGGAAGGGGTGGTTAGGGAGACATTGGTTAACAGACACAAAGAATGATTACATTTTGCAATGATGAATATGCTAATTATCCTTATTTGATCATCACATGTTGTGCACAAATACCGATAGTCAACTCTGTACCCCACAAATATGTATAATCAGTTATGTTTCAACAAAAACAAAACAAAACAAACAAATGGGTCCTGGCTTATTCTCACAAGCCAGGACCACACATCTATTTAGGGGTGAAGATTAGAATCTGTCTCCATCTCCTGCTCTTCCTGCCGCAATGCTACTTTGCTCAGCTGGCAATGATATCAGTGAGGCAAATGGATAAGTCTAGAACATGAAGTGAAAACAGCATGTAATAACCAGGGAGGGATTTTTGTTAATGGGAACAATATGCACATTACGAATGCCATAATGAATTTTAATCCTGTCATTTCTTCCCAGTGCAGCAATGTGGAATTCACAGTAAGCAAGCTTGTTACCCACTGGCGTTTGGGGTTCCTGCCGCTCTCATGGCGGTATCGCTCAGTAAGTAGAAATCAGTGGAATTAATACAAGCCTATGACCAAGTCAGGCTCTACATTAATTATTGACTAATATTTTTTTATGGTGGCTTTTTCCTGGCTATTTTTTTTTTTTTTTACTTTTTATTTTATCAGTATACAATGTAGCTGACTTTCGTGTCCCTTTACAGATTCTTACCTCCCTCCACCCACCCGTCAACATCATATCTGTTCACTTGTCTTCACAAGTTCAAGGAATGTGATTGTTGTGTCTTCTTCCCCGCCCCCCTGTTTGTGTATTTATTTATTTATTTATTTTTAGCTCCCACAAATAAGTGAGAACATGTGGTATTTCTCTTTCTATGCCTGACTTATTTCACTTAATATAATTTTTTCTAAGTCCATCAACGTTGCTGCAAATGGTAGTATTTCATTCTTTTTTAGAGCACAGTAGTATTCCATTGTGTAGAGGTACCACAGTTTCCTTATCCACTCATCTGATGATGGACATTTGGGCTGGTCCCAACTCTTGGCTATTGTAAATAGAGCTGCAGTAAACATGGGAGTACAGGTATTCCTTTAGCATGATGATTTCCATTCCTCTGGGTATATTCCCAGCAGTGGGATAGCTGGGTCATATGTTAGATCTCTCTGTAATTGTTTGAGGTATCTCAGTGTGGTTTTGATTTGCACTTCCCAAATGCTGAGTGATGTTGAGCATTTTTTCATGTATTATTGACAAAATTTTTTAAAGTCCATGTAACAAGTTGCAACAAACAAAATAGTGTGAAGTATTGCCAGATATTAAACATGCTCTGAGCATATCGTTTCAGAGGGAATTGGATTAGAAAAAGGTTGACAGGAAAAGGAATCAACTGACTTGGACATTTAAAGATTTGATATTATTTAGGGGCCGGCCCGGTGGCGCACTGGATAAGTGCGCTGCTTGGGAAGCGCGGCGGCGCTCCCGCCCGAGGGTTCGGATCCCACATACAGACCGGTTCCCGCTCACTGGCTGAGCGAGGCGCAGGAGCAACACCGAGGGTTGCGATCCCGTTGCCGGTCCCCGGTCCAGTGCGGGGGCAACACTGAGGGTTGCGATCCATTGCCGGACAGGGAAAAAGACAAAAAAAATAAAATAAAGATTTGATATTATTTAGGCAGATTAAGAGAAAAGTGATAGAATCTGCTAGACTTGCTGGACCGAGGGCTGAACGCTTTCGTTCTTGGCAACCTGTGCTTATTTATGACTTGCTTGAAGAAACGGCAACCTGGTTCAGTTGCCATTGAAATGTTTCCAATGAACGTCTAAATTTCCATAATCTGTCATCCCAAAATGCTTTGACCGAAATTCCTTCCGTCTGGAAAGAACATATGTGTAAATTAGATGCATTAGTTTGCACATTAGTCTTGACAGTGGCTTTTTAGGAAATGTGAAGAGTTTTCTACATAGAACGGTCTGACCTGAAAGATGGTCATGCAGGAAGGAAGCAGAGCCCCGTGGCCAGCCCACGTCTGCACAGCCTCTTCTCCCGCAGCCGGGGAAGCTCCCAGCTCTGCTCACCTGGTGGTGACATCACTCTCACCGAATTTTGTTTTCAGATCTTGATAGTATCGAATAGGCCCACCATTAACCTCTTTTGTTCATGTTTAGCAATTTAGCCTCATTCTTACATTTATGTCTCAGTATCCTCCTCCTTTTAATGACTCTTTTCTTCTGTAATTCTTCAGATACTGTAATTCTTCAAAGTCTTCAGAGGCTCATTTATGTCTTCTCCTCTTTAATTCTGGGCAGGAGACAAAGAGCACTTCAAAAAGCCTTGCTTTCTGTCAGACACTGTATTAAGCACTTCGAGTAAATTCTCATTTAGTCTGTGCAAGTCATTCTTACATCAAAGATTATGCTTTTTCTCATGGAGGAACTGAGAAAACACCAAATCCTTTGTGTTAACACCACCTCTAGAAATTTCTATGCTTGAATTAGGCTTCAGTTAATCAGAAGATTACAGCTTAAAATATTAGTTGGCAAAAGAAAATGTAGATTCTGTCTACTGGACATCTTGACCTTCATGTCTGCATTGAGGAAGGTCGGCATTAGGTAAGAATACAAGTAAACATCTCTGCTGTCAGCGATAAAGGGCATCTGTAGTACAGACACGTACTTAGAGATATGCTTGGGGGTTCGCACCTGTCAAAATCTCAGGCTCTCTTCATTGAGTAAAAGTAGAATTCAAGCTATCAGTGTTTCCAAGTTATTGAATTGTGGTAGTGAGTAATCAGAAATCCAAGTATAGAAACATGTTTTCAGAGTCTTTTGCAGAAATGCTTTTTTCTAAAAAAGCATTTTATTTTCACAATTTGCCTTTTGCTAAGGTGGTCCTTGGAAGAATGGCCTCATTGAAAAGGTGCTTCTAATTTTTGTAAAACCGTAGCTGCAGATGCAATTCATTGTATTCGCGCTTCTGTACAGTGACCACAGTAAAAGATTCCGCCACATATGATTAAGTAAAAGTTTCAACAAATTAATTCTTTTTTTTCTGAATATTAGGAAGATTCTCTTGCCATTGCAGCCAGAAAATTAGAGCTATTATTTTGTCTTTGTGTAATATACACTGATCTGTTATGTGAACACACTTACTCCTTTTTTCTCCCTTTAAATAGAGAGAGAACTTGTGCTTAAACAGTTGCACTGAATGTCTGTGAGCTACCCCATGTTCTGGGAAGTAGATAGTGTTGGGCTTAAATGTCTGCATATTAGAACACAAATAAAACATTACTCAGAGGCTGCTGTGATTGTTGGAATCAAAGGCACTTCTTAACTATGAGGTAGGTAGGTAAACCCATTCTATAAGTAGTCCAGTTATTTCTGAAACAAGGTTATGACTCAGATAAAAGCACATCTCTCTAGGCCACAGGTAGCTCTGGCAAACACCACATTAACACATCTTATTTTGCCCTGTCTAGTTGTATTTGTCATTGGCAGTGGAATGTACAAGAAGTTTCAGCCACAGGGTAACATCATGGCTAAAGTGGTCAAGTGCATTGGTGTAAGTATTTCAGTAGCTCTCTCTCAATGACGTTTAATCACCCCCAGAACCTTCTACCTCCTTTACATTAAAATCCACCTAAGCTTTGACTTTCCTTTAAACATATATTTAGTGTTCTGAACTGTTTTGATAAATTGCAGTTTCTTCTAAAACTCACCAAATGGAAAAAGACACAAACAGAACTCAAAACGGGAGGAATAGAAATGGCTCTTGAGTTTATAAAGAATGATCAATGGTCAGAGAAAAGCAAATCAAAGTGACTCTTTGTCAAGTTGGCAGACGATGCCTGCTGTTTCCTGGGGAGCAGGGAAGCAAAAATGGGGACCCAGAGTCTAAAGTGTTCCAACACTTAGGGTGAGTGATGCTGCTGTCAGAAATTAAGGCTAAGAAAATAATTTTTAAAAACAAACACAGATTCACATACGATGATTATCATGATAATATTTATAACAGCAAAAACTTAAGTCCACCAAATTGCTGGAAGTAGGAAGATGAGGCTTGAAGTATAGTGCACCTCTGGCACATGGAGCCGCCACCAAAGTCCTGTTTTCAAAGAATATTCGGTGATAGGAATGTGAAGAATTTTTTTTTCCATATGCATCTACTTGGTATATGTGCATGCAGGTACAGTTATAGGCAGGAAAAAAATGTTGACAGTAGGAATCTCTAGATAATGGAGTCAAATAATTTTTTCCCTTATATGCTCTCCATTTTTTTTTCGAGTGAACATATATGTTATATAAAGTGGGCGGGGGAATGTGTTGCTTATTTACAAACAGATACATATGTGGGTAATATTTTGGATGAAAAGGCAGTGGTAAGATACTTTTAGATCACTTACTTTCTCTTCACCTGGCCTTGCTGCATTCGATTATATGGCGTATTTCATTTTGTGCAATGAATGTGCCCTCTCCCTGTCGGAAAAATGCCCTTCAGGAGCAGCTGTTTCCTTTTCCTCTAGCATTAGATTTATTCCCACTGAAAAGTTTTCTTCCAAGCAAAGGGGGCACCTTACCAATTATCTATCCAAGTCCTTCCTTAACAAGTAATTGACAATGTAGTTCAAATTCCAATGGGCCGGCCCGGTGGCGCACTGCATTAGTGCGCTGCTTGGGAAGCGCGGCGGCACTCCCGCCGAGGGTTCGGATCCCACATATAGACCGGTTCCCGCTCACTGGCTGAGCGAGGTGCGGGAGCAACGCCGAGGGTTGCGATCCCGTTGCCAGTCCCGGTCCGGTACGGGGGCGACACTGAGGGTTGCGATCCGTTGCCGGACACGGAAAAAAGACAAAAAAAAAAAAAAAAATTCCAAAAGAGCAACTTCAAGCTACCTCGAGTCATGAGAACTGTATTGCCCAGTTTCCTAAAAGCAGCCCATAGCTTTAACATTCCCCATAGTGACACGCACGTCCCCAGGAGCCACCACCGTCACCCTCTTGTTGCTACATCATTGCAAATGCACTTTGCTTTTCCTAAAGGCCTCTCCCAAACGCCACTAACAGGGAATCTTACTACCCCTAATTTTATGCTGGGTGGGTCATCATATTTTTCTGATTAGTGTTACCATATTTTAAAATATGTTTAAAATACATTTAAACATACAAACAAGTCTTAAAATACGTTTGTATGTTTAAGGTTTAAATAACCTTTATTTCTATGTAGTGGGTTCTCACTCAAGTTTAAAAACTGACAATGCAGATATTGGAAAGCTTTTAAGTATGTTTGGAACAACTTGTAAGTCTAGTTACTCAAACATAAACTTTATAAACTCTAAACACAGATCAAATATTTCTGATAAAAATTTAACATACAAATTGAGATTTGCCTTAAGTGTAAAATACTCCCTAGATTTTGAAAACTTAGTAAGAAAAATGAATGTAAAAATTCTTAACAATTTTTTAGTAATGATTACGTATTAAAATTGTATTTGGGGTTTACTGGGTTAAATAAAATATATTTAAAATGAATTTCACCTGTCTTGCTTTTACTTGTTGATATGGCTACTCAAAAACTTAAATTACAACCGTGTCTTGCATTATATTTCTACTATATGTGCTTCCCTAGAGAATCTGGAGAGTAAAGGAGTGACAGCGTGACTCTGTTTACCCCAACTCAAGCGCTCTTAGTTAGAAACAGACTAGAAATAAACGCATCGGTTATGCCTCGCAACATGCTCAGTTTACTAGTATATACGATTTTGTATTCTGCTTTTCTCACAAGCATACTTTTCCATTAAAGGGGGTTTGGTTGAAATGTGTTTCCCTGATAAAGTAGTTGGTTCTTTTAAAATTTGATTTTTCTTCTTTCCTTCAGTTTGCCATCAAAAATAGATTTAGGCATCGGAGTAAGAAATTCCCCAAGAGGGAGCATTGGCTGGACTGGGCTAAAGAGAAATATGATGTAAGTGACTGTCACCACTGCAGGGGTCCCGGTTCCTATAGAAAGCAAACATCCAACATTTCAACTCAGATTATTAAGGCTTCCCGGACAAAATCATCAGCTGTATCCTCCCAACCTTTATTAGCATATCAAACAAGAGTACGTGTGAATGCTTTCTTAAAAAATTGAGAATTTGATAAACAATGGATATAATTTATCTGGAAACAATATTACCCTTTCATAGTTATTTATTTAGTATAATCTGCCATTAATTATATGTGATCGTGAGCACATAACTTTAGTTTGAACATAGAAGAGTTAAGTGGTGGTGATGGTGGGGTGGGCTTTACATTGAGTAAATGCGAGTAATTTGCCTCCTGAATGGATGTTTTTGTCCATATTTCAAATAGCTTAGAAATGTTCAGTTTTCTAAAGAAACCTGTGGTCATGTTCTTTGGAACAATTAATACCTCCAGTTTGTCTCTAGATGCCAGTATCTCTGCACTGAAACTAAGCAGTGCCTGAGAACTGAGTGACACAGTCACGGCTGACCTGTCCCTCCCCCACTCCAACTACAGGAGCGGCTTGTCTCTCAAATTAAGATGGTTACGAGGGTGCTGTTCCTGTATATTCCACTCCCAATGTTCTGGGCCTTGTTTGATCAGCAGGTAATGTGAAACTCTGTTTCTGTGCATCTTCATTTAGCAAACACACATTGGGCACCACCATGTACCAAGCTGTCCTTAGTATTTAGCTCATTAAAATGTTCTCTTCCAGTTTCTTTTTATATTTCACTTATTTGTTAGATCACATTGAGTTTATTGTAAAAAACCAATTCTAGGTGGTTCTATCCACATTTCTGTTGCAAAGTAATGAAGAAGATTAGGTGTGGTCAAGTAAAGTAGCCATGGGTAAGATTTCATCCAAGCATCCACGACTCTTGCCAATCAAAACTGGGAGCAAGGAGTTTGTTTTCCTACTGATACACCATGGAAAAAAGGAGCATTGCCTTTGATGGGATACACAGAATATCTGAACTGAGAGGAGCGTGATATCTTCCACTCTAAAATGGAATGCTTGGGCTGGAAGTACCATTCAGAGATGTGAAAGGACTCCACCAAAATTATCCCTCTCTGAGCAAGGACCTAGAACCAGATATCTGGCTTCTGGCACAGTCTTTCTACTCAGATGGAAGACACATGCCCAGGGATTTTTCACAATAGTGTTAGACAATTCAAAGCGTGTTGCCCAGTAGCCAAAGCAATAAGATATTGTTTCTTTTAGAAGCTGAAGTTTTAAAAATTTATGAACCCATGTGGTTTTATTGTGCAGGAAGGATTATTATAAGGGTAAACCACCTCTTGAAAAAAATTTCAGTGTACACATTAATCTCCTTATTTCTAAGTATGAGATTTACACAGCATCTTAGGGACCAAGGGGGCAGTCTTGCATGTTGGATGGGAGCCAGCTATTGGACTTGTGCTAGAAATACATTCATCACCTAGTAATAACTTGGGGTTATAACTCTTAACCCTTCTGAAAGCATCATAACCCACCGCCAGGCTGTGAGGATCAAATTAGACAATGTATATAAAGTACTCGGTGACTGGCATATATGAAGCTCTCAAAGAGTAGCACAGCTCCTGGCTGTCTATGATGTCCTCCTGGTGGAGTTGATAGATTCATACTGAAACATTCACATGTTCAGTCTTCCGTGGGAATAATCATATATACTTGTACAGTACTGTGTCATCTTTTACTATAAAACAGGTTGACTGTAACTAGGCTGCCCAGGATTAAATCCATTACTCTCTTGATGGAGATCCATGTTAGGCGGACCTAGACTGTCCAAAGTGGCTCTTAATAATGATGTCCTTGAAACTCTGATGCCAGGGAACATAGACTATTCTCAGTGTACAAAGCAGCTTTCACCTTGCAGGTGATGTCATGCTTACCAACAAGCCTCAGAAATGCACTTTTGTGTTAGTACTCTGTACATCTTCATGTAGGGTTGGAGAACTACATATTGTGTTCACTTGTACAACAGAAACACAGCTTACTTCTTTTTGCCTAGTATCATAATGGAGCTGGGAGACAAACTTAGTGTTTAAAACCATTTTAAATCCCGTAACACTTCACGCCTCATTCCTGATTTGGAAACAATTCAATACTGACTTGTAAAATTTTAAAAGCCCATGTTCCCAAATGATGTAGCAAATGTATTCATTTTTAAGGGCTCCAGGTGGACACTTCAAGCAACAACTATGAATGGGAAAATTGTAAGTTTGGAATATCAAGATCCTTCACCTTCCCTGGCCACTACTTTGTTTTAGTCCCTCTGTCCTCTTTCTCTTTCCCTTTCATGACATTTTTTAATGAGACTTTTCCCCCCCCTTTTTAGGGAGCTATTGAAATTCAGCCAGATCAGATGCAGGTAGGAGAAAATATTTAAATTGCTTTCAGAGATCAAGGTCATCTTTGAGACAACATTAACACTTTACCTCTACTTCATCTGCAGACTGTGAATGCCATCTTGATTGTGATATTGGTTCCCATTGTGGATGCCGTGGTGTATCCTCTGATTGCAAAGTGTGGCTTCAATTTCACGTAGGTGGCTGGTTGGTTTAGGTTGGTTGAGGCTCTACTGTTCCTAGGGTTTTGCAAATAGGGCTGCACCCCTCCCCTCCAGTGCTTCAGCAGCCACTCCCACAACACACATGTATGATGCAGGTTTTGAAGAAATGAATTAAACAAAGGTTTGTGTGCCGATGTTTCTGAAAATGTCCTTTAAAAGTGCTATTAATGGCAGCCTGAAAAAGCCTCTAATTAAGGCTCTCTTATGTATGTAGGTGATAGAAATGTTAACTGTAATTAAGTATCAGCTGAACTATAGTTCTAGAAAAGAAATGTAAAAATGCTCATGAGAAGCTGTATTCCATTTATCCTCCTTGCTCCTGGTCATGAATAGCAGCAGTAGAGACCCTTTCAAGCCCATGTGTTTTTGTAGGGAAGTTAGTTTTGTTTGGGGACAGTGTACATCCTTTGGGGGCATATGGCTAGCTCACTTGTGTGAGACTGGTTGAGGTTCACTCTCTTCTTGTCTTGACCAGCTCTTTGAGGAAGATGACAGTTGGGATGTTCCTGGCTTCCATGGCTTTTGTGGTGGCTGCAATTGTGCAGGTGGAAATTGACGTGAGTTGCCCTCTCATTCTCCAGTGTCCCTTCCTGGTGGGTTTAGAAGGAGCCCTCAGAACCTGTCTCTCTCCAGGACCTAGAGGATTAGTGGAGGCCAGGGTCTATTCCTGTAAACTAAGGCCTGGAGCTACGGACAGTGGGAGGCAAGGGGCAAAATAGTCCCTTCCAGTAAGTGAACACCGCAGATTCTTGTTACTGCAAGAGTGCAGCTGGGGATAGGGTCAAATGCTGGGCGTCATTAGGAGAAAACATTTACATCAATAGCTTCTATTGATAACACCTTTCTTATGATGGGGACGGGGTTTATGGAACTTGTTCTTTTGCGGTCTGAACTCCTAGGAAACCTGGTTAAAAGTTCACCATTCACAAACAAGCATCACTTCAAAAATGTATAAGTTGTCTTTTTGATGGGAAAATGCATTTTGGATTCTAACGTTTCTAATAACAGATAGTTCCCAAACTAATCACACATCTGCTGGGCCCACAGAGGATTCAACAAGGCTCCTAATGCTGTTAGTCTGAGATAAGTTCCTAGAAATAGGGCATTATGAGGTGCGTAAGACAAGAGGTGAGAGGGCTTCTCAATTTCTCTTTTAAAAAATTTTTAATTGTGGTAAAACATACATAACATAAAATTGACCACCTTGTCCATTTTTAACTGTACAGTGCAGTGGTGATGAGCATGTTCACATTATTGTGCAATCTCAGAATCCTTTTCATCTTGCAAAACTGAAACTCTGAACCATTGAACAGCTCCCCGTTCCCCTCTTCTCCCGGACGCTGACAACCACCATTCTGCTCTTCGTCTCTGTGAATTTATCTACTCCAGGCACCTCATACACATGAGATCATTCAGTATTTATCTTCTTATAACTGGCTTATTTCACTTAACCTGATGTCCTTAAGGTCCGTCCATGTTGCAGCATGTGTCAGAATTTCCTTCCCTTTAAAGGCTGAATAATATTCCATTGTATGTTGTATTAGTCCATTTCTGCTGCTTATAACAGAATATCTGAAAGTGAGTAATTTGTAAAGAAATGACATTTATTTCTCACAGTTTTGGAGCTGGAAAGTCCACAGTCCAAGAGACACCTCTGGCGAGGGCCTTCTTCTGGGTGGGAATTCCTTACAGAGTCCTGTGGCAACCAGAGTGTCACATGGCAAGAGAATGGGATGAGGAAGAGAGTTGACCTCACTTGCTGTCCTAAAGCCATCAGAACCACGCCCATGACAAGCCATGAAACCATGAATAGATCAATCCATCCGTGAGGGCACAGTCCTCGCTATCCAATCACCTCTTACAGGCCCCACCTTCCACCACCACATTGGGAGTTAAGTTCCAGCATGAGCGTGGGGGGACATTCGAACCACAGCATGTGCATGTAACACACTTTGTGTACCCATTCTTCTGTTGATGGGCACTGGGCTGCCTCCACCTTTAGGCTATTGTGAATAACACTGCCATGAACATGGCTGTGCTCACTCTCTCTTGAACATAGCTAGCTTTGTGGAAAATGGGTTGTGGGCTAAAATAGACATGGATTGCTTTAGTGACACTGGGATTTGAGAGAGGGCCTTACAGAGAAAAAGAAAAAAACTCTGAACAAAAGTGTGGCCGCAGGAGGGCAGAAAGCATTTGTGAGCAGATGTTTAGAGCACTGTGCCCAGGGCTGAGGACTGGGCTTCCAGGGTTACAGGGGGGGACCCTGGAGTCCAGGGAGTGCGGACCTCAGGTGCCATGACAGGAGAAGCAGTCATTTAGGCTATGCTTCCTCTGACCCCCTCACATATTGAGCTTCATATCTTGGCTTCCTTTGACCTGGAGGAATCTTGGCTAGATAAGCCCAAGAGCAGCCTCTTTCTGATCACTGCAGTATTGTGTAGAAAAATCATTTTCTGTGGGTGCCATGAGGTAAGTGAATGGTAGGCTTAGTGGGGGGTCTTGGCACGTCTCAGTCAGCACAGCTTTCAATGGGGACAGAAAAGGGACTCCCGTACCAAGGTGAAGATGATCCTCAAAGTTGCACTGAAGACCTCACTGTCAGTTTTATTTTATTTTGCTCAGAAAACTCTTCCAGTCTTCCCCAAAGGAAACGAAGTCCAAATTAAAGTTTTGAATATAGGAAATAGCAACATGACTATATCTTTTCCTGGAAATGACGTGACACTTGACCAACTGTCTCAAGTAAGTGGAAGGAGAGGCAACCTTCTTTTCTGTCTTCTGACCTGAGTTATGATGGGATTTGGAGAAGATGTTTCTCTCGCTCCAAATCCTTGTATAAATCCCAAGACCAGCCCAAAAGCGAAATGTCTGAGCCGCTTGATGTCATTCTGGCTTTACTCTAGACCAGTGTGCCTCAAACTTTAACATTTTTAAAAGGAACTTTAACATATTTTAAACAAATCACCTAGGAAGCTCGTTAAAATGCAGATTCCTCATCAGGAGGTCTGAAATGCTGCATTTTAAACAAGCTCTCAGTGATACTGCTGCTGCTGGTGCATGGATCCACACTCTAAATTACAAGGATCTAGGTTAGTGGTTCAGAACAGGGGCTGATTTTGCCCCCAGAGGGCATTTGTCAATCTCCGGAGACATTTTTTGTTGTTGCCACTGGGAGTGTTCTGGGCATCTCATGTGTAGAAGCCCGGGATGCTGATACGCAGCCCTCCAAAGAATTATTTGGCCCAAATGTCCACAGTGCCAGGGTTGGAAAGCCCTTACCCAGATGGTGGTGGTTTTGTATTCATGGCTCTAAGTCTTGAGTCCATATTGGAATCCCCTGGAGAGCTTTGAAGATGCTGATACCTGGGTCCAAACCACAGAGATTTTTATTTAGCTGGTCTTACTTCTGTCCAGCCATGGTTGAGAACCACTACCTTAGATAGAGACGTTGCCAAGCTAATAACCTTGAAGAAAAAAAGCCTGACTCCTGATGCTTGGGGCAGCCCCGTGTGGATTTCACCACGGCTGTTGCTTTTCCCCTGTTGCTGTCCTTTGCCTGATGGTAGAAATAATTTCCATAACATTTATCTTCATAAAACAAAATAAAAGTAAAATGCTAAATGAAAAGTATAATTCCCGTGGCAATCCTAAACTAATTCATGACAGAGTTCATGGTGGGGAGGTGAGGCAAATAAATGCCAACTCCCCACAAGGTATATTTTTTAATGTGTGTGAACATGAACTTGGAATGTTCGATAACATGCTGTTACGATGTTCAATTGCACAGTGAAGAGCAAGACTCTAGTATTAACTGCGGCTCCTTTCCCCCATCTATAGACAAATGAATTTATGACTTTCACTGCGGACAAACTGACAAGTATAAACATTTCTTCTGCTGGATCACCAGACACTGCAGTAACTTATGACTTTGAGCAGGGCCATCGCCACACTCTTCTAGTGTGGGCCCCCAACCAATACCGAGTGGTGAGTAGTTGGACACCCGCAGCAGACTCTTGGCTATTTGTGATACTGGAGACATGGTTTTTTATTGGTGTGAGTTTGTTTTACCTCTCTGCAGTATTATATTAGATAATCCTCAATTTCTGCCTTCTTTAAGAGCATATGTCATTTGATTTCCAATAAAAGCTGGACTGGCATATGAGAAAGGTTAATGTTAATTTAAATTTTAAAAAATAGCTTGGTATGGTATGGTGTGTGTGTGCATATGTGTGTGCATGGGTGTGTACACAAGTCACACAGAGTACATATGTGCATTCTCAGGGACTTTTTTTTTTTTTCTTTTTGTCTTTTTTTTGTGTCCGGCAACGGATCGCAACCCTCAGTGTCGTGCCCGTACCAGACCGGGACCGGCAACGGGATCGCAACCCTCGGTGTCGCACCCACACCTCACTCAGCCAGTGAGCGGGAACCGGTCTGTATGTAGGATCCGAACCCTCGGTGGGAGCGCCACCGCGCTCCCAAGCGGTGCACTGTAGCAGTGCGCCACCGGGCCGGCCCCACAGGGACTTTTTGAGATGTCATTTAAAATATATCTTTAATTGCATTAACTTAAAAATTTGCACCGAATAATTGGAAAATTAGAGCAGTTGCTGAAAAAATGTGAGCATATTAGGTAAAAGTGATATAATATATGTAAAATATTTGATGGCATCATATAGACATCTAGATATGCTATTCGGCACATAAAGAAGCTGTGAAGTTGTAGTTGAACTAAACAGAGGAGCTGTGGGCATTCTGTAAGGTGAATTTAAGTGAGCCTCTACAGAACCGCAATACAGAATTAGGACTCTCGGTCATCTGCTTAATTAGGGAGCTGTTGAGTGGCTTGCTCTAACTTCTAGGAGGGCAATGCTCTGTGAAACCACTGGCAAGAAAGAATCAAAAATTGTAGAGGCTCAGGTTAGCCTTAAGGAAAATCAGGGCTGAAGAAATGGAGCCCTTCCAATGTAATTATGCCCTTAGCTGCTAGGACAAGTGTCAACACCACTCTCTTTCTCAAAGGCTGAAATGGTAATCTGAACTCATTCTAATGAATTAGATTTTGAAAATGTCTTTATTGGCCGGCCCGGTGGCGCACTGCTACAGTGCGCCGCTTGGGAGCGCGGTGGCGCTCCCGCCAAGGGTTCGGATCCCACATATAGACCAGCCGCTCACTGGCTGAGCGAGGTGCGGGCACAACACCGAGGGTTGCGATCCCGTCGCTGGTCCCGGTCCGGTACGGGCGCAACACTGAGGGTTGCGATCTGTTGCCGGTCACGAAAAAAGACAAAAAGGGAAAAAAAAAAAAAAGAAAATGTCTTTATATTACTGTTTTCTCTCTCAGGTAAAAGATGGCCTTAATGAGAAGCCAGAAAAAGGACAAAATGGAATCAGGTATGTATATTTCTTTAAAACTTAAGTTATATCGGCCACTTACGGAAGTAATGCACACGCATAGTAAAGTTCGACTGTAATGAGGATATAGAGTGAGAGTATGGGGTTTGTCCCAAGAATGTAAGGCTGGCTCAATATTAAAAAAAAATCAATCAATATAATCCACCATCTTCTCTTAATAAAAAGAGAAATCTATATCTTATCTCATCGATTGATAAAGAAAATTTGATAAAATTCTACATCCCACCAAGGTCAAGGGTTCGGATCCCCATTTTGGCCAACTGCCAAAAAAAAGAAAAAAAGAAAAGAAAATTCTGTATCCATTCATGATAAAAATTCTCAGCCAACTAGGAACAGAAGATAACTTATCCTGAAAAAGTACAACTACAAACAACTCAAGCTAACATTATACTTCATGGTGAAAGTCTAAATGCTTTCTCCTAGGACCAGGAACGAGGAAGGTTGTCCATTCTCCCCACTCTTATTCAACATCCTTCTGGATGCACAGCAATGAGACTAGAAAAAAAAGTAAAAGCATCTAAGTTGTAAAGGAAAAAATAAAATTATTTTTATCTTGTTCATAGTTGACAATTGTTTATATAGAAAGTCCTCAGGACTCTGCCAAAAAAACCCTCAGAGAAGCAGTAAGTGAGGTTAGAAAGGTCCCAGGATGCAAGGACAACACAAAATCATGTTTCTATGTACTAGCAATGGACAATTGGAAACTAAAATTTAAAAACCATATCACTTACAATATCTCCCCCTAAAATATAAAATACTTAAGTATAAATCTAACAAAAGATGTGCAGGATTTGAATTCTAAAAATTACAAAATGCTTATGGAAGAAATCAGTGAAAAACTAAATAAATGGAGAAATAAACTGTGTTCATTGATTAGAATACTTAAATACAGTCGATCTATGAGTTTAGTGCAATTCCTATGAAAATCATAGCATTTTTATAGACACAGACAAGCTGATTCCAAAATTTATATGGAAAGACAAAGAAACTAGAATAGCCAAAATAATTTTGAAAAAAAATAAAGTTGGAAGACTCATACTACTACCAATTTTAAGATTTATTGTAAAAATCAAGACAAAGTGCTTTGGCAATGGAATAGACCATAGATCAATGGAATAGCCCAGAAATAGATCCACAGAAGTACAGCAAACTGATCTTTGCCAAAGGTGCAAAGACAATTCCATGGATTAAGGAAAGATTTTTCAACAAGGGGTGTTGAAACATTTGGACATTTATATGTAAAAAATGAACTTGATATAAACCTCACATCCTATGCAAAAATTTTATACATAAATATATAAAATTCTTACACATCTTATATGAAAATTAACTCAAAAATTATTATAGATGTACATGTAAAATGTGGAACTATAAAATTTACATATAAAAATAGTCTGTGACCTTGGGTTGTTAGATATGACACCAAAAGCACAATCCATAAAAGGAAAATTTGATAAATTAGACTTCAGCAAAATTGAAAATGTTCATTCTGTCAATCTCACTCTTAAGGGGATGAAAAGATAAGCTACAAACTGGGAGGAAATATTTACAAATCACATATCTAACAAAGAGCTTGTATCCAGAGTATATAAAGTACCCTCAAAACTCAGTAATAAGAAAATGACCCAATTTAAAAATAAAGCAAACTATTTTAACAGACACGTCACCAGAGAAGATAGACATATGGCAGATAAGCACATGAAAAGATATTCAACATCACTGACCATTAGAGAAAAATGAACTAAGACCACAGTGAGTTATCATGACACACCTATTGGACGGCTATAATAATTTTTTGAAAACTGACAATACCACATGTTGGTGAGGATACAGAGCAACTGGAACTCTCAAGCATTGCTAGTGGGAGTGCGATATGGTATAGCCCCTGAAAAACAGTTTGGCAGTTTCTTATAAAGTTAAACACACACATAAAATCCAGCCATCCCACTCTTGGACATTTACTCCAGAGAAATGCAAACTAATCTTCACCTAATAACCTATACATGAATGTTTATAGAAGCTCTATTTGTAATCACCAAAGACTGTAAATCACCCAAATGGTCTTCAGCTGGTGATGGACAGGTAAACGAATAGACTTCATGCTAGTGTGTACTTTTGTCTCTATCATCTCATGTTTTAGTGGCAACTAGTAAAAACTAAAATCAGAAATTGTTAAAAGGATGGCCTCAGGGGAATAGGGACTGAGATTGAAGCTCGAGGCAAACAGGAGACCTGTTCTCATTTTCCCATCATTTATTCTTATTTTTCTAAAAAAAAAATGTTTATAGCAAATTGGTGTTGGGGGGCATACAGTTCTATAAATTTTAACACATGTCTAGATTCACATAAAGACCATCACAATCAGAATACATTGCCCCCAAAATTGTGCTGCCCCATAGTCAAGGCTTTCCTCTACTCCTAACCCATGGCAACCACTAACCTGTTCTCCCCTATAGTTTTTTTGCTTTCCCAGAATATCTTGAAAATAGAATATACAGTATGTAACTTTTTGACTGGCCTTTTTCACAGCATAATGCATTTGAAATTTGTTCACATTGTTATGTGTATCAATAGTTTGCTCCTTTTCTTTTTCTTTGCTGAGTAGTATTCCATTGTATGATACCAGTCATATTGGGTTGAGGCCCACCCTAATGACTTCATTTTACCTCTTTAAAGACCTTCTCTCCAAATACAGTCACATTCTGAGGTGCCAGGGTTAGGGCTCTAACATGCAAAGTTGGGAGGGACACAATTCTGCTCATAACGCCTTCTTTTGAATCTTTGGGATTATTGCTTTTTGGTTATTGTTTAATTTTTTTATTGAAACATGATTGATTATACATATCTGTGGGTTACCGCATTGAATATCAATACCTGTGTGTAATATGTGATGCTCGAATCAGGATAATGAGTACATAGAACATTATACACTATAAGCATTTTTTTTGGCCCTTTACCAATTTCTTGCTAAACCACCTCCCCCTCCCCCTTTCCCACCTCTGGTAACCTCAGTTCTGTTCTCTCCTTTTGAAAGTTCAACATATTATTGTGATTGTTGTATCTTTATTTTTACTTTTTTATTTTTAGCTCCCACTTAGGAGTGAGGATATGTGGTATGTCTCTTTCTGTGCCTGGCTGATTTCACTTAACATGATTTTCTCTAAATTCATCCATGTTGCTGCAAATGGCAGAATTTCATTCTTTTTTATGGCAGGGTAGTATTCCATGAGTATACATATCACATTTTCCTTATCCGGTTGTCCATTGATGGACATTTAGGTTTGTTCCAACTCTTGGCTATTGTAAATTGAGCTGCAATAAACATGGAATGCAGGTATCCCTTTGACATGATGAATTCTATTCCTTTAGGTATAGACCCAGCAGTGGGATTGCTGGATCATATGGTAATTCTATCTGTAGTTGTTTGAGAAACCTCCATACTGTTTTCCATAATGGCTGCACTAAGTTACAGTCCCATCAACAGTGAGTGCAGGAGGGTTCCCCTTTCTCCACATCTTCACCAGCATTTGTTATTCTCTGTCTTTTTGGTAATAGCCAGTCTAACTGGGGTGAGATGATATCTCAGTGTGGTTTTGATTTGCATTTCCCTAATGCTGAGTGATATTGAGCAGTTTTTCATGTGTCTGTTGGCCATTTGTATCTCTTCCTTTGAGAAATGCCCATTTAGCTCCTTTACTCGTTTTTTAATTGGGTTACTTTTTTTTTTTTTTTTCTGTTTAGTTGTTTGAGTTCCTTGCATATTCTGGATATTAATCCCTTGTCAGATGCATGGTTTGCAAATATTTTCTCCCATTCTGTAGGTTGTCTTTTTGCTCTGTTAATTGTTTCTTTTGCTCTGCAGAATCTTTTTAGTTTGATATGATTCCATTTGTTAATTTTTTTCTTTCGTTGTTTGTGCTTTTGGGGTCTTATAAAGTCTTTGCCCAGTCCTACTTCCTAAAGTTTTTCCCCTATATTTTCTTTTAGTAGTTTTATAGTTTTAGGTCTTATATTTAACTCTTTAATCCATTTGGGGTTGATTTGGTATATGGTGAGAGGTATGGGTCTAGTTTCATTCTTCTACCTATGGATGTCGAGTTTTTCCAGCACCGTTTATTGAAGAGGCAGTCTTTTCCCCATTGTATGTTCTTGCTACCTTTATTGAAGATCAAATCAAGTCACCTTTATTGTGACTTGATTTCTGGGTTCTCTATTCTGTTCCATTGGTCCGAGTGCCTGTTTTTATGCCAGTACCATGCTGTTTTGGTTGCTACAGCTTTGTAGCATAATTTGAGATCAGGTAGTATAAAGGCTCTGGCTTTATTTATTTATTTATTTTTGCTCAGGATTGCTTTGGGTATCTGGGGTCTTTTGTTGTTCCATATGAACGTTAGGATTGTTTTTTCTATTTCTGTGAAGAATGTCATTGGTATTTTGATGAGGAATATATTGAATATGTAGATTGCTTTGAGTGGTATGGACATTTTCGCAGTGTTGATTCTTCCAATCCAAGAGTATGGAATGTCTTTCCATCTTTTTGTGTCCTTTTTAATTTCATTCAGCAGTGGTTTGTAGTTCTGAATGTAGATATCTTTCACCTTCTTGGTTAAATTGATTCCTAGGTATTTTATTTTATTTTTTGATGACGATTGTAAATGGGCTTGCTTTCTTGATTTCTATTTCTTCGAGTTCATTGTTGGAGTATAAAAATGCTACTGACTTTTGCATGTTGATTTTGTATCCTGCAACTTTACTAAAATCATTTATCGGGCCGGCCCGGTGGCGCACTGCTACAGTGCACCGCTTGGGAGTGCGGCGGCGCTCCCGCCGAGGGTTCGGATCCCACATACAGACCGGTTCCCGCTCACTGGCTGAGCGAGGTGCGGGCGCAGCACCGAGGGTTGCGATCCCATTGCCGGACATGAAAAAAGACAAAAAGGAAAAAAAAAATCATTTATCAGCTCTAAGAGTTTTTTGGT